TTTTTAGAAAAACATGAGTCATTAGTATTATTGCAACTCAAGCTCCGTCAAATAAAGTCAAAATCCGGGGAAAAAGAAATTTAAATCCACAGCCTATAATTTCTTTTTTTTGGATAGGTACTCAATACATGGCAGCATGTGGAGTGGTATACCATTAGAGCACCCTGCAACATTTGAAACACTAGCAATGGAGTCAAACAAGAAAAAAGAAATAATAGATGATCTTACAAAATTCAGTAATAGTAAACACTTCTACAGAAGAATTGGTAAGGCATGGAAAAGAGGGTACTTATTATATGGTCCTCCAGGAACAGGGAAATCAACTATGATTGCTGCAATGGCTAATCATCTCAGGTACGATATCTTCGACTTGGAACTAACAGCAGTGAAGGACAATACAGAACTGAGACGACTTCTGATCGAAACCACGAGCAAGTCGATAATCGTGATCGAAGATATCGACTGCTCGCTTGAGTTAACTGGCCAGAGGAAGAAAAGCAAAATGGAGGAGGTTGATTATAAGGAGATGGCAGAGAATGATAAGGAGAAGGGAGGTGATAAAGCGGCGAGGGCGGGTTCGAGTAATGTTACATTGTCAGGGCTGCTGAATTGTGTTGATGGGATATGGTCGAGTTGTGGGAAAGAGAAGATTATCGTGTTTACTACGAATCATGTGGAGAAACTTGATCCTGCATTGATTCGAAGAGGGAGGATGGATAAACATATAGAGATGTCGTATTGTGGTTTCGAAGGGGTTAAGGTTCTTGCTAAGAATTATTTGCTTGTTGAAGAGAATGATAATAATGAGGATTATCAAGGGTTGTTTGATGAGATTGATAAGTTGTTGAGTGAGGTTAAGATAACACCGGCTGATGTCGCGGAGAATCTGATGCCAAAGTCTTGTGAAGAAACTGCTGGTATGTGTCTTCGGAAGTTGATTAGGGTGCTTGAGGAAGCAAAGGAAAAGACTGTCAAGAAGAAGAAAGCAGAGGAGGATGAGGAGGATACAGAGGAGGAAGTTGATTAAATGATTAATCCTGTCCAAAAAAAAAAAAAAAAAAGTATTAATTGTTATCATGTTATTTTGTTTGAATGATTGATTAAATGGGGCAGGGAAGATTGATATTTTAGCTAGTAGTATTATTGGTTTTAGAAAGTTTAATGCTAATTTTTTTATTTTTTTTTTCAAGCTAAGGTGATGTTGTGTACCTAGTTATGCTGAGAATTGACTTGTATTGGGTTGATTCTTTGGTGAAATCAACAAAGTTAGGTGAGGTTGTAGTACTTTGTGTATTGTTGTCACTCTTGATGGTTGGCATGTTGTAAACTTGTAGGCGTAGCCTTGTGGATAAAGGTGGCCATTGGGTTGGGTAACTGAGTTGTGAACTCATTCCAGCCAGGTTGGAAGGATTGAAATCGGCTCACTAATCACACTAGCTAGGAGGTGAAGCTCTTTGTTTTCTGTCTAAACCAAATACCTTGTGATATACATTACTGTAAGAAACAGGCCTTGAACAATTTTTTGGATCACATGTATCGCACCCTATTTAAGGTGAGTTTATTGCAAGTAACAAGCAGAGTCTTAACAAGAGTCTTATGAAAGACTTTAGCAATAATGTGATAAAAGACTATGGTGAGTCTTGTAAGGGGTTTGGTAAATTAAAACCCAATTCAAGACTATGCATGTGGGGCAATTAAGTTGACAAATTTTGCATGGCCCAATAATACCATGCCACCTCATCATCATCATGTATTTTTAAGTTTCATTTGCCTTTAAATTTCAAGTGCTTTAGAGTTATTGTTATTGTATTATATCCAAATTATCGTTATTTTATATTTTATGTATTTTGAAGTTCAACTCTCTGTAAAAAAAAAAAAAAAAAAAAAAAAAAAGAGTTCAGCTCGCCATAAAATTACCAATGTCCATTACAAATTTTATTCTAATTTAAATTTTTCCGAATTATTATAATTCACGAAGTATTTTTTTTCAAACTATAATATATACAAATAGACATTATATCATTAGTATTAAAAATAATTTTATAAAATAAATAGATTTATAAAATTAATGTTATTATTTAGGAAGGTAAGTTGAGTCTGGAGTGAGTTTTGGAATAATGTGTGAAAATGAAGAGAGTCTTGTGTAAGACTGAATAATAAAAAAGTAATTAAAAGTTAATGAAAAGCTGTTGTGGCAGAGTCTGGAGTCTTAGTCAGAGTCTATGGATAAACTTACCCTTATGCTCTCATGCACATTAGTGACATTACATATAGTCATACACTATAAGTAAATGAATAATGGCACGTGTCGGTGTTACACAAATTTGACCTATTCACAAGGAAGATTGAACCAAACTCAAGTGCTCAACTATACTCATTACTCAGGTTACGAGTCTACGGGGACCAATGTTAGGATTAGGAGCGGAAGCATAAAATGATATAGAGACACAAATAAATAAAAGATGGACAAAAAGAATAACAAGAGACACAAATTTAACGTGGGAAAAACCTTCAAATAAGGTAAACCACCCACCAACAACGAGTACTAATTATCTAATGTATAAAAAAGGGTATGGGAGTACAACCCCGAAAGGTATAAGAGTATGGTATGGCTCTCTAGATTATATTGGATCTGATTATCTAATGAGCTAATATGAATATATGATGGATATTTATGTACAGTACTACAAAAATATAAGCCTTGACCTTGAAGAGCAAATATTATAACTTTGAAAGCTATTAATATTTTGATATTGCTACCCACCTATTGTAGATGGGTTGAAAGCTATTAATATTATAAGTAGCAATAATAACTTGTTTGTGACTTAGGGGGCGTTTGGTTTGGGGGTTTCAGGAAACGGAATGGGAATGATTCCGTTTCTTGTCGTTTGTTTTTCCATTTCAATCATTCCCTTTACCCTTTTTTATTTTTCACTTTACCTAAAATCCCTCTAATCTCATTCCCTACCCCCCCTGACTTTTGCATTCCCATTCCCCTCTTCTTTACCCACTTCTTCATCTCCTCTATCTGAGCACCCCTCTTCTTTACCCACTTCTTCATCTCCTCTCGGCGAGCACCGTCAGCGACCACCACCGTCAGCGACTACCGTCAGCGACCACCACCGTCACCAACTACCGTCAGCGACCACCGTCAGCGACCACCACCGTCAGCGACCACCGTCAGCTTGTTCAAGGTAAACCCTAACTTCAGAATTCACTATTTTCGTGTTTGTTCAAGGTAGATTTGATCTTTAGATTGATTTTAAATTTCATTATAATACCCTAATCTATGCTCTGTTACTTGTAAACAACTTCTGATACTTTTGCTAAAATTGTGTTGAGATGTTATCTACTTCAGATAATTTTACTCGAACTGTTTGTCTATGTTCTGCTACTTGTAGCAACTTCTGATACTTGATAAAAATGGGTCATGGGTGGAGAATTTCGTTTTCAATAATGAAAGCATAATGTTGGCATCTTATTTCTAGTCTGCAATTACATTATGATACACTCTTATATATTAACCAATTATGGGGAAGAACATGTAGCCGAAGTAGGATCAATAAATTGGTTCCCTATGGAAATTTGAGTGGGAAGTATTCTAGTATTTCTGTAAGTGTTACAACTTACGAGTTTTTTATGATTTTACTCTGGACTCCAGAGCAATGTTAGTGACATCATTAATTTAATTTTGATTTTTATTAACTAAATCAAATATTTTCATACGATCGTATCCAATTTTTTGGTAGTAGATAGATAATTTTATAGGCATCATGTAGCATTTAGCCTTTCCCCTGTAGCTTTTATGCTGTTTGCTGTACTGTGATATGATGTGTGGTCTTCAAATTATAGTGTCCAACTAGCTATAGTTGAAAACTCTTAACCACGACTGTGAAGCCCGGTTCTTCCTCCTCTGTTGGTCCATCATGTTTACTTTTTGGAGATAATGTGCCCTTTCAAATTTAAAATTATGGTTTCCTCTGGAAAGATGCTTATGTAGAAAGGTTTTTGCTAATTTTGTCATCTCTATTTTGAGTAGCTATATCTGAGTTTGAATTATGCTTGTAACATTGTCTATTTGTTTCACTTTTATGGGCATTATTATGTTTGTAGTAAGATATGCTTGTGCTTGGCATTCATTTTTTCAAGGTAAATTTTCAATACTTGACTATTAATGGTAGTGTTGTGTTGTGAAAAAGGCTTGTATAATTGTATTCATTCTGTAAATGCAACAAGTTCTTGCTTTTCCCTCCCTTTCCTTCCAATTACTTGTTATCCAAACAAAGGTGTTGCCATGTCTTTCTCTTACTTGTTATCCAAACTGCCTGAGTTTATATTTTGTATAGTAGACAAGTAGTAGACAAGTATGAAGTATGAAAGAAGGCAGTGTTTCTTGAATTGTTGAGATGTATTGTAGTATGTGTTGTACAATATTGATTTCATATGTATATACATGTATATATTGGTTTAGGTTGAAACTTGTCAATGATATAGTGTTGTTGATTTTCTTTTCTACAGAAAATGGCTCGAATTGGTACTTCTTTGAAAAGGAAGAGAAATTGGGACTTTATTCGTTTCATAATTACTATGATTAATTGTGTTGTGTTGCTACATTTGATATGGTACACAATGAGAAAAACTATATACAATTCTCATTCTCTAAAGCTAGATAAAAAAACTAGAAGAAAGATGAGATTGCACAATTTGAATAGAATGATTAGAGAAAGTGACACTTTGTGTAGGAACTATCTTCGTATAAATCGATTCACATTTGGTGTACTTTTAGAAATGGTTAGAGATATTGGCGGATTAAATGAAACTAAAAACACATGTTTGGAAGAGATGGTTGCGGGTTTCTTATACACATTAGCTCACCATAAGAAAAATAGAATGATGGGTGCTCACTTTTATAGAAGTGGTGAAACTATTAGTAGACAATTTCATGCTTGTTTGTTAGCAATCTTAAAGTTACATGTTGTTCTTCTTAAGAAACCAACTCCAATACGAGAGGATTGTGACGATGAAAGGTGGAAATATTTCAAGGTAAATTAACAAAACCAACACTTTAATTTGAGATAAATAAAGAGAGAGACTAGTATACATAAATGAGAGTAATATTGTTATTTTTTTGTAGAATTGTTTAGATGCCCTTGATGGTACAATGATTCTAGTTAATGTTCCTTGTGATGATCGACCCAAATATCGCACTAGAAAAGGCACCATTGCTATGAATGTTCTAGGAGTATGCTCACCTGAGATGGAATTTACATATGTCTTACCCGGTTGGGAGGGATCGGCACATGATTGTCGGATTCTTCGAGATGCTATTTCTAGGCCTAATGGGTTGAAAGTTCCTAAAGGTAATACGATTGACATAGTAGACTTTATTTGAGATTAACTTAGTAAGAGAGTAATTTTGTTTTTTTTTGAATTTGTCAAGGTTGTTATTATCTATGTGATGGAGGATATACTAATGGAGAGGGATTCCTTGCACCATATAGAGGGCATCTTTATCATCTTAAAGAATGGAATAATGGCCCCCGACAACCTCAAAACGCTGAAGAATATTTCAACTTAAGGCATGCGAAAGCTAGAAATGTGATTGAGAGATGCTTTGGATTACTCAAGGGAAGATGGGGAATTCTTAGAAGTCCTTCTTGGTTTAGTTTAAAAACACATGGTCGAATTGTGCTTGCTTGTGCCTTATTACATAACTTGGTAAAAAGATACATGCTTGCAGAATTTGATGATGATGACTTGTATGAGGAAAGTGATAGTGATGATGATGATGGTGATGCTAGTGATGAAGATGATGTGGATTACATAACTTCCATTGCTGTAACCGATCCATGGACTAATTTTCGAAATACAATGGCCCAAAATATGTTTAATGAGTGGAGGGCTAGACACCGCAGACTTAGTTCGTGATTTTATTTTTTACATGACCAAACTTTTTTATTGTTATATTTGAACTTCAGACTAGAATGCTTTTTTCAATTTCGATCTTGTACGTTTTTCTGTTTACATTAAGTCATGGATGTTGTATTGGACTTATATTAATTTCCTTTTTTACTTAAATTGAACAATTTTTTTGGTTAATTTTATTCTTATATATATGCAATCCTCTTATGTATATTCTTATGTATATGTCATGTTAATATGGTTCAAATGTTATAGTATTATGGAAGAAAGTAGTGCAAGTGGAGGTGGAAGGGGGAGAAACAAACGATTTTGGACCGCTCAAGAAGATGAAGTCCTTGTGGAAGCATTGTCAGAGCTAGCTGTAGATCCTCACTGGAGGTGTGAAAATGGATTCCGAAGCGGCTATATGGTTCGCTTGGAGGAGGTCATAGGTAAGGCTCTTCCTGGTTGTGGTTTAAAGGCTACACCACACATTGACTCTCGGATTAAGACACTTGGAGCCAAGTTTAGGGCTATTTCTCAAATGTTAAATACAAGTGGATTCGTTTGGGATGATGAAAAATAAATGGTTTCTGTGGACCGGGCTGTTTATGACGAGTTTTGCAAGGTACACCCCCTTTTAAGGTCCTTTTATAGTGAGTAATCTGTTTTTTTTTTTTTTTGTTGAAATTCATGGATTGTTGATTACATTGGTTGATTGCTATGAGATTATAATTGTTCATTGGAAAATATGCGTAGTCAAATTGAACCAACATTTAGAAATATATGGTTGTTGCATTTGATATGACTGTATGTTGTGTATTTGATGTTGTTGATGAGCATTTTTATGTCTTCCAGAGTCATCCTAATTGCAAAAACTTGTATGGAATTTCTTTCCCCCACTTTCATGAACTCGAGAAAATTTATGGCAAGGACTATGCTACTGGAAAACCAGCTGAAGGTTTTGCTGATGCAGTCAACAACTTGGAAAAAGTTGCCCCTCCACAAGTTACACTTGATTCAAGTGATGATGAGGATGTTCTAGGTAGTGGTAATGTCACTCAAACTGTTACCTCTCCTCCTTATAAAAAGATCAAGACTGAAAACACTACAAAAAAAAGTAAGAGAGGAAGTGGTGGTGCCGGAAGTTCTAATGAGCTCGCTAGCTTACAAGCATTTATGAAAGACATGAATGTTCATCTTTCCACTATGGCTACTGTGATGGCACGCACTGATGATCGTGAACAACGTGCGGATGAAAGAGAGCAAAAATTAGTTGAAAAGAGTGAACAAGTGCTAGAGGAACTACTCTCTTTTAATCTTGAAGGTGTCACTCCTACCCAAGTTTTTGAAGTGGCTAACATTCTAACCGCACAACCTAACAAGCTCATGATATTTTCAAAGTGTCCGGATGCTTTGAAAGGTGCTTATGTTAAGAGTCTTCTTGGAGGAAGCGGTGATGGTAGTGCCTAAATAAATTTTATGTTATGGTTTTATGTATGGTTTTGTATTAGGAAGGATTATTGGCAAAGACTTTGGTTGAATGTCAATATTATTAGAATACTTTTGGTATGAACTTTTATCTATGAACAAGTACTTTGGTATTATTTTCACCATGAGGTGATAATTTGGATTTGTAATCAATGGAGCATGAAAAATGTTATTTATAGTTTTTTTTTTATAATGTCTTTATAGTTTTTTTTGCTTAACTTTTTCATAACAAGGTCTTCAAGTATTAATTCATGATTTCACAGGTTTATCATATAATACAGGAATTTAAAAAATGACAATTTCATTCCCTGACTTGAACCAAACAGTCACAAAGGGAATCAATGAACAATTCATTCCGTTTTCTGGATGCAACCAAACAACCAGGCTAAATCAGGGTCAACCCATTCCTTTCTCCTGCATTCCCTGGATTCATTCCATTCCGATTCCCCTGCGCGAACCAAACGCGCCCTTAGTTTAACCAAAACCCCAAGTTGGGTCACATTGGGGGCGGGGGTTTAGGTTTGAACCAGCACGAGAGCCCTGGAGACCCTTCCATATGCATTTGTGGCCTTTTTAGAGGTCAATTAAACCAAAAAGGGTTAATCCAAATTAGACAAAACACAGAAAATTCAATATTGCCGCTGGGCATTTTGGGTACAAGTTTGGAATCTACAAAACAAATCAGTATTGGCGGGCAGAAAATAGAGAGAGAAGGAAATCAATAAATCATCTTCTTGATTCACATCTTTTCGTCTGGTGTAAGGTAATATTCGAATTTCTCATCCATTTTCCCATAAATTTCTCTACTTTGCTGATTTTGATGATGTTTATTCTGTGTTTCTCGACAATTTTAGGGTTTACTTCCTTAATTTCAGAGCTTTGTTCATGTAGTTGATGAAAATTCAGATGAATTGATGTTTGTTCTTCTATTCATTTTGATTGGTTTTGTTCTTGTTCATCATCAATATTTTGATTACTGTATATTGGTCTTCTCAACAGATTGTTTGATTGTTCAAACCCCATTTCTGAGTGTAAATTGTCAAGTTTTTCTGTATATTCCTAAACCCTAATGGTACATTAGCGAATAGTAGCAATGTAGCATGAATTGATTAAGAGCTGACCACATTAAAACAATTTGGAGCGTAATTAGGTTTTAAGTTGCAAATATCTGGGTGCAAATTATGTAGTTATTGTTGGCGTTAAGACATAATCATTGACCTTAAATCATACCATTGCGAGCTAGATTGAAAAGATCACTTACTGAATTACCTGAATGGTAAGAAGGAATTGGGACATCGAATCCGTGCTAGTCGCTTTTCCAGGAGTCAAGGTGTGTTTGAGTATTGATGTTGTTGGGTGTATACTTTTATAGTTATATATGAGAATCCAAAATATAAATTTAATTCTTTTGGAGGAAATAAATGATCATATGAATGACAAATTAAAATAATTAAGCTGTTGTAATTTGATATCAAGAGAAGGTTCGTGGTAATTTTTTCTCCCTCCATCCCATTCCACCGGATTTAATTTTATCAAAGGGTAATACTGGAAGTTGTTTAGCAATCTGTTGGGATTCTAGAAATCGAGACTATATTTTCTCACACCCTCAATTGTATGTGACTGGTATTACTGGGTGAGGGAAGTATATCAATTAAAGTTAGAGATGGGATGAGAGAATCAACAAGCAATCAGAACATTGATGTATTTTAATTGATGGTTTGCCACCTTTTTCAGTTCATTGGATATCTTTCATATTTTCTAAGAGATGACGAAAGGTTAGTAGTGTGTTAGACAATTATGAGTTATGACATAAATGTTGATTAGAGTGTCAACAAACTGGAAGAAATTGGATATGCTTATTAAGGTTGATGCAGAACGAAGTACATTAATCTTGCTATTGTAAACTGGTAAAAGCTGCTTTAGATTTCGTGATGGAATGTGGTCTGATTTTCTTGATCTAAGTAAGAGTAGAAGTCGAAATAAGTCATTTGTCTTTTTTTTTTTTTTCCTCAATTAGTATATACTGATGCCAGTGTCAGCTTATGCTTTAAATATGGGTTTTGGATTTTTAGGCATTTAGCAATAAAGGATATGAAATATTTAGGGAAGCAGGTTTTTTATAATACACCCAAATAGGGTCTTGTTTCAGAGCTAGGGTATCTTTGTTTTATGGAAATATGGAATATCTCATTTGTAACTTTGAAAGTTATGTTTAAAGTAAATCTTATTTGGTTTGAAATATCATTTTATTGGTGGTTTGTGAACTCTTTTCTTTAATTCGCTGTTAGGATAAACCCTCTATCCATAAATAAGTATTACCAAATAAATAACTCATTTTTGGAATGTCAAGATAAAATTTTCAACTTTTATTTAAAAAATTAAAATAAAGTAATGTTTGGATCTTTGGCAATGTCCCCATTAAAATAATTGACGGAGGGTGCAAGGTATTCAACTATTACAAAGCTCTCTTTTTAAAACAAATTACCACCATTAGTTTAGTGATTTGGGACAATGTGATGACTTTTCCTGGATGAAGTATTACCAGGGCACCAAGGGATTGGCTTTTTTTGCTTTTTTTTTGGGGGTGGTGGAATGTGTTGCTAGGCAATTAGGTTATTGGAAATTTCATCTGGTTTGTAAATATACTGATTAGGCCTGCATTTTACTTGATTCATCAGGAGGGCTTGGAAGATTGCTTGCAATTCCCATCCTGCAAACCTGTTGCTGCTTTAATGGCATCAAAGCGTAATGTAAAATACTCTCCACTTGCCACTGATGAGGATGGAGGTGACATTTACAGTTATGACGGTCATATAAAGGGAAAACAGTATGATCCTCGGTTTGATTACACGCCGAAATATCTAGACAAAGTTCCATGGAAATCAATTCTTCTCGCACTGTTTCTCCTTTGCCTTGGTTCACTTCTTCTCTTTCTGTCATTTTTCATCCTCACTGGTCATATGGGAGGGGAGCAGTCTCAAGCATATGGTCTCCTTGCGCTTGGAATTCTTACTTTCCTTCCAGGTAAAGACTTTCCCTTATTTAATTGTATTCTCTCTCTTCCTCATTCCCCCCTCTCTCTCTTTTTCTTTTTCTTTGTTTGTTGTGGGTGTGTGGGAAGGGGCAGTAGGATGGGGTGGTGGAGAATGCCATTTTTTTTTTCTTGCTATGCAGTTTGCACTTTTTTGGTTCAGTCAATGAAGGCTTTAGCAAGCATGAGTAGAATTATGAAAAGAAATGGAGAATGTATTAATCAAGTCATTGACTAACTGGTGAATGTCGTGCCCCTCTAGCTACATGCCCAAGTGATTTTACTTATCATTTTATTCATTCACCGAGTTTTGCAAGTATATTCTTAATTTTTTGGAAAGCATCTTTCTTTACTCTTCCCTCTCGAGTGTATGCCCTTTTGCAGCTGTAGTGTCAGTTGGAATATTCTATTATTTGGTTTAAAATAAGACGTGAGGTGGAAAGCTGAAAGAGGGAATTTAGGCTACTCAATTCTGTTGATGGTCATAAGCTGTTATAAGGGGAAGTGATCAACACCATAAAAGAATAATAATGGCTTAAGTGTTAATACTTTGGAGCACATGAACTTAAAGGTTCTCAGGGCATAAAGTGAAAAAGAAAGTTGAAAACTGTTTTGAGACAAACTCTAGATTGGATGTCTTTGACAATTATACTAGCGGGCTTCTGTAGTTCTGTTTGACGTTTTTCTTCAAACAAGGAAGTCTAGGATTTGAAGATTAAATATGATAGAAATTTGACCACCCGAGTGAAGAGAACAAATCACACTCGTCTTTGTTTAAAGTCCGTCAAAGCTAGCTTACCTAAGTGAAGAAAACAAGATAAGTCCTCTTCATTAGGATGTGAACTAAAAGGACCAGAACTTACTCTGTTCAATGAGGAATTTATGAAAAGCAAAAGATAAATTAGATGCAGAATTGACACATTAAAAAAGCCAAGACAACAAAATTTAACGTCTTCTACTATTTATCCACCTAAAGAACAAATTGATTTTGAGGAATGATTTCTTTCATGCTTAAGGAGTCAAGGATATGATCCACCTCAAGACCTTTATAGTGAAGCTACCATTAGTCCCATTACTAAGCTTCAAGGCTGTGATAAGTTGATAATAATGATAATTCTCACAGAACTCTTTTGGAGTATTGGACTAGATAATATCTCTTTTGTTCTTCATGTATCTTAAAACTTAATTGCTTTTCTGCTTGATTCGTCTACTGTTATTGGACTTCACACGTGATTCTTATTTTTGTATGAAAAATCCAGAATTATAGAAAACATAAGAACATATTCTATAAGTCCTAATTTATAGCACTAGTAAAACAGTAGCCAATGCTATTGACTTCTAGTTAGAATGTTTTTGATTGATGGGTGTTGCTTACTCTTCTAGCCAGTTAGTATCTTCCATAAGTTTCTTCAGAAAGGTCTTTTAAGATTGCTTGATAGTTGCTGTAATTGCTGCAACAATAAATCCTGGGACAGTAATTTAGCTGCAAAACTATTGAACTGGAAACTACTACTCTGTACGGCTCCTTACATCTGAAATTGCTCCTTATCCTGTTTAGAGTGAAAGCTTTGTGGGAGCATTGGGTTAATGATTTTGTAGTTGTTATAACTGACTTGCAAATTTTGGTTAGCTTGATTAAGTTGATAATAGTTATTGACACTAAATTTGGATGTATCTTGATCAACTGTATGACTTGGATCCATCATCATAGAGAACTTGGTGATTATATTACTTTTATTACATAAAGCAAGCGGCTCTTGAAACTTTTGATAGAGGCTTTCCTCATGAAGTTTGTTCCTTGAATAATTTCTTTTGCGATTGTATTGCTTGATTTACTTGACTTGTTTAATGAACAAATGTTCTTTGCGGTGTGCACTTTGTTCTGCAGTCTTTGAAATTAATCTTACTCATTTAAATCAGCCTTATTTCATTTGAATGAGTATATTCTTTTGCGATTGTATTGCTTGATTTACTTGACTTGTTTTAATGAACAAATGTTCTTTGCAGTGTGCACTTTGTTCTGCAGTCTTTGAAATTAATCTTACTCATTTAAATCAGCTGTATTTCATTTGAATGAGTATATATTAATATATTATATAGTGTATAAAAGCTCTTCAACATACTGTATTAGTTATCTTTTAAAAATAGGCTCCCTCCTGGCGGACAGGTTTAATTGCCTTGTTTTATTTATATTATTATCTTCTCTGCTATGTATCTACTGATGGGTAGCCAGCAGCAGTTATCTTATCTGTTAAACACTGCCACTTTTGGCATTCTGGGAAAATTCTTCTCCTGTCCCCTTTAAGGACTGTGCTTGTTACATTTCTCATAGAGGCAGTAGTAGCTTATGGCTTCAAAATGCTTGCCTTTTGCTCACGAGTCATTGCTGACAGATCACGTAGAAGGCAGAATGAGAAAGATGAAAAGATCTATAGGTTTTGCCTTTTGGGCAGCATATGTTTCTTTCAGATTTATGTGCTCCAGCTTTCAGAATTCAAAAAGTATTTCACTTAATTAAAACAAACTCCTTCATTGAGCTTGCAAAATTTCGCTAATCAATATTTCTTGACAATTCTGATTGATTTGTTGAAGCATAAATTGTCATTAACAGCACATATTCTGTTGAAACTCCTTCAGTTTTCTGCTACCACAAGATGGATCTTCTGCTTTGTATGATCCCTAGTTAATATCTAGGCAAGTAACAAGCACTATAGTTGACTTACAAGTGTTCTGAAAGGTCCTTTCTCTTATATCATAGATTTAATGGTATAAAGAATTTTGATGAGTGACCCTAGAGCTATGCCATGTTATCCTAGTATTAGAGCTGTTCATGGGCGGGACGGCCCGCTAAGCCCGCCTAACCCGACTCGCAAAAAAGGCGGGCTTGGACAATCTTTTTGAAAAAATTGGATATTTGGACAGGCTAGGCCCGGCCCGTTAATGTAAACGGACGGGTATGGACAAGAAAATATGTGTTGTGGGCTAGCCTGCCCGGCCCGTTTATAATAATAATAATACTATTTTAATAATTTTTATTTAGTTAGTGTTATATTTAATAATAAAAATAATACTTTGTGTATTTAAGAAAATAAAATAATCAATACAGAGAGACTATAGTAAACTATAAGCTTTTATTGGTTACAATTATTTATTTTAATTTTATATTATGACATATTTTGTGTGTTTTTAATTTCTATTATCATTATTTGTGAATAAAAAATTTAAGACATCTCTACCAAAATAATTTTAGCACATGTAAATAATAAATAGATTAATTAGTGTTATAAAAAATAAAACAAAAATTTAAGGCCCGTTAGCCCGCGGGCAAGCCCGGCCTGTTTAGTAATCGGGCATGGACAAAGTATCAAGCCCGCACAAAAGGGTTCGGGTTTGATACATAAGCCCGTTGGACAAAAAATAAGCATAAACTCGGCCCGCTACCCGTCCAAGCCCGCAAATGATCACCTCTACCTAGTATATATTCCACGTATATTAGCACCTTGGCAGCAGCAGGAGTTGTTTCCATAATGCTTTTTTTTTTTTTTTTCTTTCTAGTTTTGTTTTTGGTGCTATTCATTATTCATTTAATCTTAAGGGGAGGAGGAGGGATTGTATTGGCATTAGCTACCCTAGAGCTAAATCCAAAAAGGTTTGGAAGTATCTGCATGACTTATGAAATAATTTGGGGGAAGGAGCTTAGGAGCCTGCCCAAAACCCTGCTTGGCCCATGTATTCCTTCAAAACGTACAGAGAAAGAACAGGCAACGAGAACTTCTTGAAGATTTAGATTGCAGGCACTCCAATTTCTAGGAAATGGAATGCCTTTTTTTAGAAATAACTTTTGGCTCACAGATGATGGATTTCTGTGTTTACTGTCTAAAATTTATGCTATATAATCAGAAGAGATTCTTCTTATTGCATAATTTTAATGTAGAATCATGTGCACTAGTCTGTTGAGATTTTAATTCTGTTTTACGCGGCATTTGTATGTTCATGGTTAGGAATGTTGACTTTGTTGAGACTACCTCATTTTAAATTCCTCTTATGTTTTATCGAAATATAATAATGTCCTGTTTCAAATTGTTAATGCAGGCTTCTATGAGACTCGGATTGCATATTATTCGTGGAGAGGTGCTGCCGGCTATCGTTTTGCAGCCATCCCTGACTACTGAGTCTTATTCTTCAAGATTTGCACCTCTGGTTCATGTTTCTACTCTGTCTATTCTAGTCTGTATGTTGATGTTATTATGCATGCCTGTTGTATAGAGCACTAACCTTTAGGAGTGTACTTTATGATTGTATTTTGTCACATTATGTGTATTAATGAATAAAATTATGTGCTTTGTTATAAATATGATATTTTTCCCCCCATATAGTGGAACGTTGTTATTTTTTTGACAATATATTTTAGGAGAAATATACTGCTCCCTTAGTCCCTCCGTCCCTTAATTATATGCCTATTTTTCTCTATTATGTGAGAAAGAAATAGACATATAATTAAGTGACAGAAGGAGTACTACAAGAGATCATCAGATTACCAAAATATAAATAGTCATTGTTTTTGGTTCCTGAGAGCCAGGGAGGTGAAAGAAAGTGATAGTAATATAAAATTAAACAAACATTTAAAGGTTTAAGGAACCATACCATGGCTCAGTCATTTCATGAATTTGAAGGAAAACGTTAAGTGTTAAATTTGACTTTCAATTGCTGTAATTCCTCTTATAAAGGGTTTATCCAAATCTGACACAATTAAAGGTGGAGAGTGTCATGAATCAATATCATGTATATTATGGCGTATACACTCAAATCCAAGACTTTTAAGACTTTACGAACCAAATTAGTTACTCTATCTAAATTTAAATTAAATGGTGGATCCACCCTTAAATAAAAAGGTATGGGCTTGCGCCTTTTACTTGACAAACAAATTGAACATCTCAGCAAATAGCCAAATACCACTATGGAATGATTAAAAGTGGTATATTGGTTAGTGAATGTATTTTAAACTTGAAGGTCACATGCGATCTTCGAGTCTAATTGGGTGACGCTTAGCCTAGCAAAGTGCTGGACCAGCACACCAATTTTATCAATATTAAATGTTATTGGTGGGCCCTTATTTTGTATTGGTGTGTATTTTGTACGTATGAATTTGTATGCCCATATTTATACATTGTTGGCGTGCTTTTCAAGACCGTTGCAATGATTGGTCCGTTATTATGCAAATGAGGTTGAATAACATGACATTTATGATAACATGACAGAGGGTTAATAGAGGGTTTGTCTGTTGATGACATGACATTTATGATAACATGACATTTATCATGTATTGTCGTGTTGACATATACACTATCATATTGCAATATGTTTTTTTTTATAGACATAGTTATCTTATTTATTTATATTGTCATATTAACATATATATTGTAATGTTGACATACACATTGTCATAATGCAATGGGGTTTCGGGTTTAGGGTTAACAGAGGGTTTGGGGGATTGTGTTTTGGGGTATTAGCAACGAGGTAGAACTGTATTTTCATTGAGTTTGGTATTAATATCATACCTTTATTTCTTAATGTCTGATATTGACATCAAGAACATAAAGTGTTGTTGGCATTTTATCATATTTTCATTAATAAAAAAATATTTTTTTTAACTATAATTAGGATAAGTCGAGTCTCATTTAAGGTTGTTAAATGCATTTCATTTTATATTAGGATTGGTAACCGAGTTCAATTCCAATAAGGATTGTATATAAGATTTAACTTTCAATTACATTGTTTTGAAGGAATTGTATCTTCGATAAGTGCAATTACTAGATATATCAAGGATCACTATTATGGAGATAATAACATCGTTCTTTTGGGTCGTCATTGTTTGGTTCTAGATATGACAAATGATCTTTGGGCTAGTTAAAAAGTCCAAATCCCAATAGAATGGATCCTATGAGGTCACACAACAAGGGTATTGGGTTAAACAAGTAAGAGACCCATTAATGGGCCTCATGAGATTATGACATACCATGTAGATCGAGTGTTGAGCTAGAATAGTGTGTTTGGGATAAGGTGTTTAGGCTTGACATGGACTCTTATTTAGAGATGTGAGTTATAAATAAGATCCATGCCTAAGGTTGAATAAAACAATCAACATACAGTAGATTGTGAAACAAACAACCAAGTCCCAAAACCCGAAACACTCTCCTCACCTCACGACCCTCCCTCTCCCCTCGTTCGTACGTCTGGCGCCCCTTCGTGGTGGCTCGTGGTGTTCGACGTGGTAATTCGTGGTTAGCCCGTGTCTCTCTTCTTCGTCGAAGACTGATTGTAGCGTTCAATCACGACTAACTAGCATTAGTGGATGTTTAATCTGTGCCCGTGGACCAAGTAGAGGAATCACGCTTGGGGTTCTTTATCTCCCATTGTTCTTGCTTGATAGCACGTGAAATCACGCTTCAAAGGTACAATTATATGTTCTTTATGTGTTATGTGTTTAGGGTATTTTTACCCTGCCACGTATCCCAATCAGAGGGTGACACGTGTCAGCCTCAGATTGGTCCAAAATGGACCAATCTCTGCTTGACACGTGTCATTCCAAAAATAAAGGGGAAAAGGCGGCCATCAGGCCCAAATCCCGAGAACGCCGGAAAACGGCGTAGCCCACCAATGATAGGGGTTCAGTGACCTAATCAGGGGCAATTCCCAAAGACCCTATAAATAGGGAGATGTCTCTCTTTTTGAGGACACATTGAATCATTTATTACACACTTATTCTCTTACATCAGAGAAAGACCTGAGCTTGGAATCCGAGCAGATACCCACTTAAATTTTCGTCCTCTCTATTCCGTTTCAAGTTACTAACTTGTGCGTCGGAGGCGGAGCACCACCCAACCGGTGTCTCCGTTTGTTTTGCAGGTACAGCTCACAGCAGATCAGTCTTCGTGTTGTAACTCTCCCAAGGGACAAAAACACCCAAAACATTTGGCGCCGTCTGTGGGGAGAGTACCTCGAAGATGGTTCCAGAGTCTGTACCACCCTCTAACCGTCTGGGCGATGACCCAGAAGTTTTTACAGACCAGGAGGATTAAGATCCTCATGTTGAAACCTTTACAGCCGAAGACGGCTCTCTCAGAATCAAGCGCATCCGGCCCAGAGAGACTCTGGAGCGGGGTGCCTCCCAGGCGGGTCCAAGCAGACCCACTGGGCAGCCGGAAGGGGAAACCCAAACGGCAGCAGGATCAGCCCCTGTCACCCAAGACGAACTCATGAGATTCATGACAAGTTTCAAGGGTGAAATTAAAGAGCTGATCACCAAAAGCCGGGCTGGCCCAAGTAAAGGTCAGTCGGCAAAGAAGACTCCTCCGGAGAAGGGGAAGTCAGTCCGAAACCGACAACCCACTCCTCATCCAAAAGAGAAGGCAGCTGGGACCATTGATTGGTCAAGGATTCTCCTTCCTAGGAAGAATACCAACACTCGCCGGACTCAACAGCGGTGAGAAGTAAAAAATCAACTCTTGATGCCCGGGAGATCATTAACCGGAAGAGAACCCAGTCGCTGTCTAAGTCGGCTTCAACGTCGAACTTTCCAGACAGCTTCAACAATACCTCTGCCGGGAATGCATCTTCCTTGCATGAGAGTCAGACAGGCGGTAATACCGTCCATTCTGGCCTTCACATGATTGGAGCTGTACCGTATGTTCCTACCCAGGCTTACAGACAATATCCTCCTCACTTTATGCAGCCGGCCCTCTTTGGAGGTCAGGCGGCATATCCAAATGTCCAGCCATTGGACTGGCAGCTTCGTCTGCTACGCCTGGGTGAACAGCCTTCTGCGTTCACCCGGGAGATAACCGAGGCGGCTCAGCCGACCAAGGTTAAGAATGTGTTGGTTGGTACCTATGACGGTACCACCAATCCGGAAGACCACCTCATGGCTTACACCAAACTCATGTATCTGCAGGGGTTGGATGATTCCACTTGGTGTCGGTGTTTCCCGGCTACATTGAAGGGCATTGCCCAACAATGGTTTGGCAATTTGCCAGCCGGGTCCATCAATAAGTTCAGGAAGCTCGCCTTCCTGTTTGCTTCTAACTTCTTAATGAACATCCCTGCAAAGAAAACAAGCCTTGATTTGAGCACTGTTAAGCAGGGAGAGAGAGAAGGGCTGCGCTCATATGTCAGGCGGTTCAATCTGATAAGAATTCAGATTCAAGGACTGTCTGACGAGGTAGCTTTTACAGACTTTTTCAAGGGTCTGAGAGACGGGTCGACCTTCAAGTTCGACCTAGTCAGAAAAGGGGCTTTCACCTTACAGGCGGCCCTGAGGGAGGCGGAAAGCTACATCCAAGCTACCGACCTCTGCTCGCCTGGTAGCCAGCGGACTCCAAGAAGTCCGACAAACAGAAAGACATCCGGTCAGCTCAGCCGGCCAAAAACAAAGAAGAGAGCAAGAAGAGAAAAGAAGTATGGGCGGTTACTGACTCTGACCAGCCGTCCCAGAAGAAAAAGAAAGAATTTAAACCGTACGTCCCCAAGTACGAGTTTAATAAAGACTGCAACTCCATCCTCATGGAGGTAAAGGACCGGCTGTCCATTGAGAAGCCGAATCCTATGAAGAGTTCTGTCCAGACACGGAACAAGAATAAATTCTGTCAGTTCCATGAGGAGGTCGGCCATGACACCAACGACTGCTTCAGTCTTCAGCGTGCGTTGGACCGTCTGGCTGACAAAGGGCTGTTGAAGTCCTACATTTCTAAGTCCCCAGCCGGGGCAAAAAAGAAAAACAAGGGTCAGTCCTCCAAGAATACCCCCCAGCCTGCTAGTAGTTCGGATACCGACAAGGAGCCGGTCTACACTATAGCAGGCGGGTTCTCATGTGGTGGCCCTATCATCCGGGGCACCAAGAGCCATCTTCGAAAGATGGACAAAGATGATGATGAGCAGGCGTCCGACAGCTCTTCCTTCCCAGACGTCTTGATCACTGAGAAGGATAGGGGCAGCGTCCGCCGCCCTCATGATGACCCGATGGTCTTTGAATGTAAGGTTGCCAACCAGCTGGTTGGATGGATCCTTATAGACACCGGCAGCTCATCAGACATCATCAGCCTCCGGTGCCTGCAAAAGCTGAAATACAATGTCAGCAGCATGCATCCGGTCACCCACCCCTTGGTTGGTTTTGGGGGTGGGATGGTCTACCCAGCCGGAAGGATTAACTTACCCATCCGGCTGGGAGAGAAGGGCCAAGGACGACATATTGTCGTCAGATTCTTGGTCGTTGAGGAGTTGACCGCCTACAACATTATCCTTGGCCGGCCGACCCTCAACGTAGCCAAGGCAGTAATCATCCCATCTCTCATGCTCATCAAGTATGAGAGGGATGA